TGGGAGATTACATCTGTGGTTTCACATTCTTGTCAATGTCTTGATTCTGCTCAGAACAGAAGCCTTCTTTGTTGATATCACTTATGTTGAGAGTGCTGTGGCAAAAGGAGCAGGTAAAAAAGTTTCAAGAAATTCAATGAATTTTCTTTTTTTTATAAGGCATTTTTTATTTTGACATATATAGGATTGAACTTTGTTAACTTTGTTGCAGTTTGTTTGGATGGGAGCCCCCCAGCTTATCATCTTGACAGAGGATTTGGAGCAGGGATCAACAGTTGGTTGGTTCATATAGAGGTTGGCACTTTGTCATGATAACTTTAGCATTTGAGAATTTGAATGTGATAAAAAATATGCAGAATTTGATGTCCATTTCACCAAATTGTCTCATGTTTTTCAAGTTCTGAAGCTTTTACTTCTTTGCTGGATCAAATAGTAACAGTTTGCCTTTGATTGGCTTCAAAGAAAAGCAGTAGAAGCTGCTGCATGAAGTAACTATTTTGAGTCTTTGATTACCCAGTTTCAAGACAATTATACTGAACACGGAAACTTTCTGGATAAACTTGTTAGCTGAATTTTCCTTGCTAGGTGAAATATGGGATCTTTTTATAACAGCAAAAGATGTTCTTTATGTGTATGAACAAAGTTTATATTTCAAAATCTCAGGGAGGAGGATGGTGCAACAATGTGACTACTTGTCTAGATCGCAAAAATACGCGCTTGGGATCCTCAAAGCAAATGGCAAAGCAACTTGCTTTTTCTGGGATTTTAGCGAACAAGCCTAAGTTCAATCCAGGTAATATATCTTTAGTTAATTATCATGTTTAAGTGCAATGAATTACTTAGTACTGCATTTGTTTTTGTGTTCTTCCAAACTGAAATATTGCAAGTCCTTTTGAATTGCCAGATTTCTATAATTGGAACAGGGTGAAGGTTAGGTACTGTGATGGATCATCATTTACGGGTGATGTTGAAGCAGTAAATCCTGTAAGTCCACTGAAACTGATAAACAGTAGCTTTAGTTGAAAAGAATGAGATATAAATCCGTTCTGCCACGAATAACCAAATCGTTTGCCAACTGGTCAATAGGTATGCAAAAGTTAATATGAATTCTGCAAATCCAGTGTGGATTTAGCAGTAGCTGTTTTTTCTGTTGTAACACCAATTGACTAAGACGATTACAGAACTTATAGTACGTCATGATATTCAGTCTATGGCTAACCGCAATCCATATTTGGACTGGCGTCTGATGGACATGTCAAATCTGAGCAGGCTACTAATCTTCACTATAGGGGAGCAAGGGTTTTTGTTGCTGTTATTGAGGATCTGCTAGCAAAAGGAATGAAAAATGCTGAAAGTGTATGATCGACTGATAGCACACTCTCTTTGTTTCTTCCTCATTTTTTAGATACAAAAATTGCATGAGTTATAATTGCTTTAGGAGCTCATTGAACTCCCTATGCTAGGCTGTTCTGTCTGGATGTTCTGCTGGTGGATTGACTTCGATTCTCCATTGTGATAGCTTCAAAGCTCTGCTACCCTTGGGCACTAAAGTTAAATGTTTTGCAGATGCGGGTTACTTCATCAATGCGTAAGATTTTACATTGGAATTCCGCCCAAATTGAGTTCTTGTCACTTTTCATGAATTATCAAATGCAAACTTTGTAAGCTTTTACAACAGGAAGGATGTCTCTGGAGTCCAACATATAGAGGCTTTCTACAATGACGTGGTTAATACACATGTATGCTTCATTTTATTCTATCAAATTTTCACTTTTCAATAGGAAAATTATTTGATAGGACCAAGTAGACCAGTAAATATACTCGTTGGTTATATCAATGGAGACAATTTGTGATGTTTTGTAGCTAATATGCAGCAATTATGAAGATAAAAGAGCCCTGACCTTCAATCTGTTACCTCTCTTTCTTTTGAAGATATTAAAACTGCAATCCTTATCCTTTTTCTTCTGGCTGCTTCTATATGTGTGCTGATAAGTAAAAATTAAATGAATACGAATAGTCTGTTCTAACTCATTTCATGATTTGAATATATACTTGGTTGCAGGGATCAGCAAAGAATTTGCCTGCAACATGTACCTCAAGAATGAAACCTGGTCTGGTATGAGCGATCATATTCATATCATAAATTAAAGATGTTTGCTATGTAATCCACTTAATGCTGATTTGTTTCACCAATGTTGCAGTGTTTTTTCCCCCAATACATGGCACAAGAAATTCGGACACCACTTTTCATAACAAATGCAGCCTATGATTCATGGCAGGTGAGAATTCTTTCCAGATTAAAAAGACGAATATAGTCATGCCAGAAAACTCTCTTCGATCTTCAGTTCATTGCTCTAGGTTTCTGGGAGACATGTCCTTAAATTTTCAAGATGATTGGTTTTTTCTATAGGTTTTTTAACAAAAGATTGTAACTGCCTCTAATTAGGATTATTATCAAATTGGAAACGAATCTATCCACACGTAAGTTAAATGATATCAAAAAAATTTAAGTAATCATTCTTCTTTCTTAATTGTGTTGCTAAGTTACCTGGTAATCATCACTTAAGCTGTGCTTGTTGTATTAAGTGTATTGAGTTGTTCACCAGACTGATCTGTGGAGCCCGGATAGGAGTCCTGATATTTCTTTTATCATACTCAGTGATGAGATAAAATGAGAAACTTGATTAAGATAAAACCATGTGCATAGTCAGAGGGGGTTGATAACCTGGTTTTAAATCCCAAACAAGTTTAGTGAGGATTAAATATATGTATAATTCTTGCTTTCAAGAGTCAAGACAGGTAGAATAATAGGACAGACTTCTTGAGAGAATATGTATAGCATATGGTTTCATCTTTTTGGTGTAGCTTTTGTTTGGCTAAAATGACAATTTCGTTCTTAGGATTGTGGCTGTTCTTCTAAACAAGATGAACCAACAATAGATGCTTCTGTTATCTTCTCTCGCTTCTGTACATAAGATGTCAAATTGTCAGCATTACGCTCGCTTAAAAATGTCTAAACTTAATTTGATTTTCAAAAAGTTCAGGTTTTACATCAAGGGGATATATAGTATATGGTTTCTTCTTTGTGGTGAAGAAATTGTTTTGGCTCAAATAACAGCATCATTCTTAATATGGTGGCTGTCATTCTACATATGATAAAACTTGGACATTTTCTTCTGTCCTCTTCCCTAATCAACAAATTATGCAAGCGGTGATACTGCTCATATGGTGCGTATTTGAACATGTTTAAACTTGGTGGCATTAGGAGAAGATCTGGTTATGGATAGTGCAATTACGTTCCTTAAATATTTCTTTCATAGTAAGCAAGGATGGAGTATTAGAGAGGGAGAAATTTCTCTAGCTTTTGATAACTGAAAATGACAGAGAATTTGCTGAGCTCACCTTCTCCTCAAATTCATCTTTTCTTCCATGGCAATGGCAGCAATATTCCGATATCTGTTACATATCACATAATGGAACAAGGATTAGTCCTATTGTGTTTCTTCAAATGTACCATTCTGTTCAGTTGCATCTCATTTTTCTGACTCTTGATTATTATTTTAATTTTGCATAGATCAAGAATATTTTGGCTCCTGGTGTTGCTGATCCCCATGGTCTTTGGCACAATTGCAAGCTTGATATAACAAAATGCTCTGCTAGTCAACTCCAAATCATCCAAGGTTATTGCTGCTTCATGATTTTCTCTTAAGCTCCAAAGATGCTTCAGGTCTTGTTACTTTCAGTTGCTGTAAAAAAGGTCACAAATTATCTAAACTTTTCACTCCACTCTACCAAATTATAAAAACTATTTAAAACATATCTAACAATGTGATGCTATAGAAAAGCAAGAAAGTAAGCAGAAGCTTTTTTTAATGGAAAATTGATCTGTTAAAAGGCATGTTACCCTGCTTAACTTGTAAGTTGTAGCATAACACAACCTGTATTTTTCTGGTCATACAGTAACAGAACCTCCTAGGACTTCTGAAGAGTAGCATTGACTTTGCTTCTGACTTGGGGAGCCCAAAGTTAAACTATTAGAGATGCAGAAGGGGAGTTATCCCCTTCCATCTAGCTTTATGTGATAGGATGAAATTGGTTTTGATGCTAAATCAGATCAGACTTAACACTCTGATCCAGTTTCTGGTGAATGATTGGGCTCTACAATTTCCCATAAAACCTCCTCTTTCCATAGATGCTCAACCTTAATTCCGATAGTTAGCAAGTATACAGTTAAAAAGAAACTGAGTGCGCTATCAGATGGATTATTTCTGACACTCTTTATGTTGAAGTTTAGGTTTCAGATTGGAGTTTTTGAGTGCAGTGAATGGACTAGGCACCTCTTCATCAAGAGGATACTTTATCAATGGCTGCTATGCTCACTGCCAAACCGAAATGCAGGAGACATGGCTCAGGGATGACTCCCCAAGATTGAATGACAAAGTAAGACATGAAATACCTCCTAAAACTGCTTCTGACTCTGTCCGTTGTCAATCTTTCTGTCATCTGCATCCTGAATATGCTCCTTTATCATTAAATTTGTTTTCTGCAGACAATTGCTAAGGCAGTGGGAGATTGGTTTTATGACAGAAGTCCATTTCAGAAGATAGATTGTCCTTATCCTTGTGATAAAACTTGTCACAACCGTGTTTTCGAGTCTCAAGATCAACCATTGGTATAGATAGATTCTTTCCATACAACTACATTTTATGACAAATTCCCTATGAGATAGGAGGATTTGGAAAGGAAAAGAAAGAAAAGGAGAAATAGAAGAATTTAAGTTCCTATTTATCAAGCCATTGCAATAAGAATATCACCAACATGCAAAAGTGTGTGTCTGGTGATCTTATTCTTGTATTGTAATCAACAAAGACTTCTGTTCCATTTGAATTTAATCAATTTATCAAAATTTTATATTTGTAGAAAGCATGAATATGCTTCTGAGCTCATTTTCTTTTTTGCCCTTTCTATGGATTCAATGATGGTGGTGTGACAAAATAGAATAACAACACAACCACTGGTCAGCCTGCAGTTAATGGTTTCGGCACTGATAACACAAAATCAATGGCAAATGTCATCAAGAAATATGTAACAGGTAACATTAATCAGGCTCCTTTAATCATCAGTGAACATGAAATCTTCCATTTGCAACAGCATTGATAGATTTTGCAGCTGGTTCTGCAGTCATACTGAAATATGTTGCACTTCCTTTATTGGCGAACGCATCCCTAGAGATTGAGAGGTTGTTGTGGTGAAGGGGAAACAGGGATCAGATGCTGAAAGAACATCCAAAATGTTGTCTTAACCACCTTATTTTGACCAAACATGGAAACAGTTAGCTGACGATGTATAGAGACCATCACATTTTCATGTTATTTAGTTCCTCACAGGTTTTACATAGGACTTTGTATACATGTTACACAAGTATTCTGGTGAAACAGGTGTCGTAGGATCTCTACAAGTCCAAGGTGATTTTATTTTGCCATTGGACTATAGCTAGAATAGAATGTATTTACGCTGATTATCTTTTGTGTGCATGTATGTGTCATGCGAGTGCTTTCTTGCCTGTGTATGAACACAGACATCAGAGGCGTCCAAGTGGTACCTCTCTTATGTTGCAGCTGCGGATCTCCTGTGGTTGGCAAGAGAAGCGGTACCTCTCTTATGTTGCAGCTGCGGATCTCCTGTGGTTGGCAAGAGAAGCGCACCATCCTGTGGAAGGTCCGAGATCGGGTTAGCATGACTTAGAGCATCCACAATGCTATTACACTTTGTGGAGTGTAATCCACATGCCACGTCAGCATTCCACTTTCTCCTCTTTTATTACACTTTCACTCACAATGGATTACACTCCACAAGGTGTAATAGCATGGGTCCACAATTAATCAAATATTTATTTTAATAATGCATAACTCATATCCCATAAATAAATAAAGTAATTTTTAAAACTAATTTTGTTATTTTTAAAAAATAAAGTACTAACTTTCGTTAAATTTTGTACATTTTGAATTTTTTTATTTTCTAAAAATGATATTATTAATTTTTAAGTTTGAATAATATATCTTTTTCTATGTTTCAAAAATAATATATTGTTATTTTTTTAAAAATAATTATGTAGAAAATTAAACAAATATTTGATACTTCAAATGCGAAGATATCATAATAATTCATACTTAATTAATAATTCGAAATGTAATTAGTTGAACTCCATAACATAATATTACATAAGTTAAATCAAATAAAAAGGCACAAATGACCCACATTCAATGGATTACACGCATCATACAGGTGATGCGTGTAATCTCCATGACACGGCTCCAATGGGGAGCCGTGTCATGGAGCGGTGTAATGGCTCCCCATTACACCCCCATTGGAGCTGCCCTTAGCTTGATCTCAATCATCCATTTCAAATTTAATGAATTTTGAAATAGACGATGGAGATTGAGTAAGGCCGTATGGGCCTTTAATTTTGATATAGACGGTTGACATCGAGTCAAGCCGCATAGGCCCAATCTGGGACCATCTACTGGACAGTCTAGTTCCTCCTACGAGAGCTGAGGAGGGCTGAAGTTCTGCCAGATTTATATTCTGTCAAAACCTTGTAAGAAAGAAATGGCCGAAAAAAAAAAAAAGGAAAATCTATAGACAACCTTGCAAAATACCAAAATACTTTGGGATGTTCCCCAGTATTCCAAGTTTGTCCTCAATAATCTATAGGATCTATTCTTAACTAATTTTTTGTACTTGCCTGAAAAATCTAATATGTAATGTTTTCAACTGCTTTTTTTTTAATCATTTTTTTTACATTTTGGCTTTTCTAAAGCTAAAAACAAAAAAAAAATCTATCGTTTATGTTATTGGAATATGCATTTCTTATTTACATGAGCAAATGTAAAATGCCAAACGTATAATTCTTTTCAAAAGTCATTTATTTTTTCTTTCTTATTGTTTATGTTGAGCATTGTGATTTTTTATTTTTAAAAAGTAATAACAGTAATTAAGTTCTAAATAGGTCCATTAAACAAAGAAAGAAAATATATTCTTACAACAAAACTTTTGCTTTATTTACCAAGTATAGGTCCAATTCCACCTTTCTTCAACAATGTATGTTTTATTTGTTTAATCCTTGCATATTTTTTTAGTTCAAATCTACTTTAGAAGTAGACTCATTAATAAAAAACATAAGCTAACCTAAACTAGAAACATTATCAAAGTTTCTTCTTCAAATTATCAAACTATTCCATGCAATACCTCTTTCAAGTTTCAATTACAAATTTGCCACAGGCTTGTTCTTTAGGGATTCTATAACCCATCAACTTAGGGGTGGGCAAAATTATCCGCTAACCCGAAAACCCGTCATATCCGATTCGATCCGATCCGAAAATTAAGATATCCGATTTTTATTATTTGATCGGGTCAAAAAAGGGTCGGGTATCCGCTAAGATGCGGGGCGGGTTAGGGTCACATAATTAAAAATCCGCGGGTACCCGATCCGCCCCGCATATATATATATATTTTTTATATATTTTTATACACACACTATAAAATAATAAGTTATAACTAAATAAGTAATTTTATTGAACAAATTGCATTACAAATATGAGAGACTATAGTTTATTTACAAGATTCATTTGTAAAAGCCATGATCTTATATTTTATAGAAAAAAGTTTAATTAATGTGGAACATATATATTAAAAATTATGTTACTTATTTCAAACTTTTATTGATTTTGAATTCTTTTAATTTTTTTCCTTTATCTTATATTCTGTTCATATGCTTGTTTCTTGGTGGGAAACCTTTTTTTAGAAAAAAAAATTATTAAATCTTAGATGAATATGTAAAATATAAAATTAAATTGGTATAAATCATTTTTTTTTAAAAAAAATTAAATGATAAACGGGGCGGGTCGAGTACCCGCTGATCCAACCCTATCTCAGCGGTATCCGCTGATATAGGGTACCCGCTGATATGCGGGGCGGGTAAGGGTCAGAAAATGGCTGACCCGCAAGGTGCGGGTCGGGTCAGCCAAATGGTGAATGGGGCGGGTACCCGACCCGCGCCCACCCCTACTTCAACTTTTGACTCATGATTCATGGCAAAGCCTAACTTGCCTAGTTTTCTGATATAACTCAATGCATTAGTACATTTGAAGAGCGTTTCGCCATCTTGCAACAAAATTGTTGTAAAGAGAGTTGGTACCTTTCAAATATTTTGATTGTGCATCAAATAACTTTGGAGATGCCAACCATAGTTTTATAATTGGGAAGATATGCTAACCTGCTATGATCTCCTTTGTGCACATTAGAAGCATCAAGAATTGTTTTTTTTAGTTCCCTTTTCCAAAATCAGAAAAATCGGGACATTTGCTTGGGGATAAGTCTCAAGTATCACTGCCAATCCAAGAAGTTTTAACTATTTAAGTTGTATTAGTCAAGCATACTAAAAACCCACTGGACTTTGGTCCAATAATTATGGACGGTTAAGAGACTTTCTTGTATCAGATTTGACTTCTTTTCAGTGGATTCTCCGTCCATTTCTCATAATACACAAATACATGATATATGTCTTCATTTAATATAAAGGGATATGATCATTTTAAATTTGATTAAATGAAGGATTATAATCATTTTAAATTTGATGAATGCTAACTCTTATTACTAAATAAAAACACATGTTATACATTCACATGTACATTATAAGAAATGTTAAGAGAATTTATTGGAAACGAGTCAAGTTCTCGTGCACTAAATTTAGGGTTCAAATCCAGGTGTAATATAGGAAAGTGAAGTGCTTCCGTTCCTCAAAGTCTCCTCTCCATAGTAGTAGGGTAGATTGTAATTGTAGACCTCGGACCAAAAATTAAAAAAAAAGTACATTGAACAGGATAATGTCGTTTCTCATATTCTAAGTTCTAACAAACGAATCCTTCTCGGGCTGAACCGAAGAAGGGATAAGGAAACGAAAGCCTTCGGCCCTTAAACCCCCGATTCCCAATTATAAACAGTGCCATATCAGTTTTTTCACTCCAATTTTGCTTTACAAAACATTTTGCTTTTTGCAAATTTGTCTTTGGCTGCTTTTAGAAATGACGATGAAGAAATTGAGATGGGCAATGGACAGTGGGTTCTGGGATTTGGACATGTCTACGCCGGTTACTTTGGACGGCAAGGCACGCCCTGTCGCCGGCGACCCTCTGCCTCTGGGCGTAAGCCGCGGCGCCAGGCTTTCGAGGCCCAGACAGATCGATTTCTTCCAGCGTTTTATGGCTGCACCCTTTGTCCCTTCTTTCACTCCTGACCGCGGTCTTGCTCTTGAAAGGGTCTTCTCTCTTCCCCTGCCTTCTTCCATTGGTGAACGCTGGTAAACCCATTGTTCCTTCTTTTCTTCCTTCGGCCCAATCCCATTTTTTCGGATTAGTTTCTCTCTTCTTCGAGCTTAAACGAATTTTTGCTTTCGTGAATATTCGAGAGGTTTTTCTTTTTAATGAATGATGATGTACATTGTTGAAACATTGATTAGTTGTGGGAAGTTTGCAAAAATGGGGGACGCTTTGTTGTATTGATTCCTTGCCGAATTTAACATTTTTTGTGTCACTGTGTTTCTGTGCGTTGAGCATTATATTTAGTACACAAACCGGTACAAATGCCACTGTACGCTTTTTATGAAGTATGAATTAGGCAATGGATTGCACCTCTTTCACTAACTTTCTGTAATTCTGAGAGTGAACTAACGACTAATTGTGCGCTGTATGTTGGTAATAGAGAAAGTTTCTGAATGGGATGATGCCACAGAGTGATGAGGAAATTTCTATTAGTTTTTAGCATTTTTGCTTATTATCTTTTGATAGAAGCAGCCGGGATTGACTTCTTTTCAAATGTCATTTCTGTGGACTTTGTTTTAGATTCTGATGCAGAACAATCTTAGGTCTACTTCATAAGAATTGGATATTAGAAGATTGCGGGAATGAGCATTAAGTAGTCCAGAGGTGTCAAAATGGGTGATTTGGGTGGGTTTTTGTTGGTTAAAATGGGTAATGGGTATAAGTGAGTCAATCCATTTATATCCATTTAATTAGATGGGTATAAATGGATAAGTCAAAAAATGAATTGGGTAACCCAATTACCCATTTATAACCCATTTATTTTAACTTTTTGTAAATTCATTTTTGCAAACTAAGTTATCAATTTATACCACCCTTTGCACCTATCATTAGTTTTAAATATTTACTTATAATGCTCAATAAGTCTAATTACTAATTTTTTTCTCATCTGTAATCTATATCGCAAAATTACATACTATTTAATAATTGAACAATAAGAATATAAAATTTTGAACTAAGTACTATAAAAGTTAACATATAAATTTAATCCAAAAATTTTGAACTCCTAGCATGTTTTTTGTGTGTAAATTTCAAATTTCATTTTGAAAAGGTAGGAAAAGAGGCTAAAACTTGTCATAAATTGGTAATGCTGAAAAATGAGCAAGTTAACAAACTAAGAGAAAATAAAATGATAAGATGAAACCACCAAATAATAATGATGATAATGATGAAACAAAAGTAGTTAACATCATAAAAAAATCATGACAAAATGAAGAATTTGAAAAAAGAAAAAAAAAATGGGTGGGGGAAAAGAGTAGGCTTGGGGGAAGACAATTCTAAATAGATTAATTGGGTTTGATGTGCTACCCAATAATACCCATTTATTGGGTATTCATTTATACCCATATGCAAAAACTTAAGATACTCATATCTATCTATTCATGGACGAATATGGGTAAATTTAATTAAATGGGTTTGTTTGCCACCTATAGCATTAACCATGCTGCAGCTCTTCTTAGCGGAGTTCTAGCTCCATTTAAATTATGGCTAAGTTATGTAGAACCTTCAGTTTATTTGAATGTGGTGCTACTTGCATTGAGATGCAATGTTGCTGATAACTGTAGCTCACTTTGTTTTATGGCTGAGTTTGGGGCCTCAAGTATAGGGGAATGTTTATCAGAAAGGCATGCTTGGATGCCCTAATTAATGTGGCACAATTGTAGGCTGTTCATTGGGTAGCACATTTAGACTAATTTACCTACAAAATTTGCTTCTGCAAAATACGCGTCAAATAGTGTACATTCATTCTGTAAAATAAAATTAGCAAAAATGCTCGTTATCTTTATGACAGACAGCCAACCATACTAATGTCACAAGTTATCTCTACATCTGTCATGATCCTAAGCTACTAAAATTGCGAGATGCAATGTTGCTGATACTTTATTTAGTCATTACAATCAAAAGTTGCCCATATGTGGAGTCAGCATTAACTAATATTTATGTTCAAAGCCATGCAGGTTTGCAACATTACTTGGACAATTTAATATCCAGAAGTTTGTGACCTCTATCAAAAAGGATGGGACATTGCAAATGTCAGAACCATCATGGTTACAACGCATCAAAAAACACCTTTCTGAAAAATCCCTTTATGCTTTCAACCTCTGTTCAGAACTTTTGGTAACACCTGATGATACTCTTCTTCTTAGCTATGAAGGATATGGTGATGAGAAGAACTCTAGGACGAAAGCAGTTCTTCATCACAAGGCAAGAATGTACGAACTCAAAACTGTTATTAATTGCTTGTTTATGCATTTTTTATGTTTCAAATTTCTTTTTCCTTTTTCTTTTATCTCTGGCAGTAGTAGGATTCAGCACACATTGGTATGTTTGCATAAATTATTCCTTTTTTCACTTCCAAGCTAGTCAAATGTTCCTTTGTTGTTTTTTAGCTTCTGGTTGTACTGTGCTTTCGTGGCTTTGCAGTCTGTTGATTCTTTTCCTAGTACCCCTTGTAAATAGATACTTTTGTCATTGCAGTTTCCTCATCATAATCTCATTGTTGAAGCTGCTGGGCTAGAACGTTTTGTTGATCACAATGGTAACCACTGGGATGTTCCATTTTCTCTGGCAGCTGATGTTGCCTCAGTTCCTGCTGACTCTAGTACAAGCTATCATTTGTGCATTAATCACGTGATGGGTTCACCGAATGAAGTTCAAACTCAGTCAGCTGGTGGAGCACCTGCTGCTCTACTCCCCGGTTTGTGTGCCAAATGTGCAGTATCCTTTAAGAAGAATGCCAATATTTGGACAAGTGAAGCACCAAAATTATCAATGGTGCAACCTTACGACATTTTTTTGTCCGATCCTCATATTTCAGTGTCCACCCTTCTAGGTAAAGATAGGTTGAATGATCCTTCAAACTTTTTTATTTAAAAAGCAGAAAAAAGGTTTTACCAAATACTACTTTGGTTTTTGAACTTTTCTTTGTGTCGCCTAACTTCAAGGTCCTCTATCCATTGTTGTGTCAAAATTTTATTTTGTATTATAAATATATGGATAAATTTCATCTTGTCAGTTGATAACGTCATTGCTTGGTATTTATGAACTCAGTCTTATAGAAATAATGAGAAGACAGGTTTTCAACAGCTACTCTAGAGAATGCCATTTGCTTATGGAAGTTTACATGTTTGTCTATTTGTCTGATGATTTGCCGCTTTAATTAATTGTTGATCAACTCATACATGTGAAAGTTTTTTATACATTCCCTATTTCATTTGGTAATGACGCACAATATGCCCTTGCAGGTGCTGTTGTGACAGCATTTGTTGGTAATACGTCAATCAGAACACAAGGAGAACATGATATACAATATTTGAAGGGCTCTGGACTTCAAGCACAGGCAGAAAATTCTGCCATTTCAGCGGACCTGTTTGCATCTGCGTTTTTCTCAGCACAACATGGAAATTTCCAAAGGTTATTCCTGGATTTGACACGCATCAATGTACGTTTGGATTTCCCATCAGGGTTAAAGTTTCTCTCTGGTGCTGCTCGTGTGGGTTATAATCTGTATAATTCTCAAGAACCAAGTTGGGAAACAATTGAGACGTTATGTCCAAAAGCCACCTTGTCATTTCAGCAGCAGGTACGCTGTCTTATAATTGTTTACAGAGGATATTACTATCAAATCCACGATCAGAATCTTTTGAATAGCTGCTGTGACCCATGGTTTTTCTTAACTATATTGACTTGTGCTATACTCGTCAATGATGTTATCAAATCAGGAGTTTATGTTTATCTTTTATGGAGCTTCATGCAAAAGCTTCTCAGTCCCCTTTTTTAAGTGATCAACATGATAACAAACACAGTTTTGGTATGTGTTCTTGCCCAAAGTTGCTTATAGTTACCCTTGGAGTTACCTCTTTTTCATTTTTATCAAATCAGATACCTCTAGTTTCACCATCAAATCCTCCAATCTCCCGTCAATAAAGCAATTCTTCCATTACCCAAAAAACAGCTCTTAAACTGATTGTTATTACAAGAATTGATCAATTGATTGTTATTGAGAATTGATCAATTGACTTGTAAATTGCACATTGGGTAGTCGTAACTTTTTCTCTTCAACTGATTATTCCTGTCACATTTCTTCTTTGACATATCCTCAGCTTTGAGTGCTCCCTCAAATATCAAGCACTTCTATAAATTGTGAGGAAAACTGGAAGCAAGAGTACATCTTGCTGCACTGCCTTCTTTTTATTGGATTTGGATTTAATCTGTGTCCCTCTGCTGTAATAATAGTTGGTTTAAGCAGAGGCAGAGAAAGAGGAGGGGGGTGTTGGTTGTGGGAAAGAAACCAAAAGAAGAAGGAATGTATTTGCCCACGTATAATGTGTAGGAGAAAGGTGGAGGCAGAAGTGAAGAGTTTGGGGTGTGCAGAGCTGAGGAGTTGGAAATGGAAAGTTAGTGGGAGCAGTGACAGGATATGAGGAGGGAGGTCTCATTGCATAGGAGGTAAGAATAGGAAGATGCAGTGCAGTGAACACATGTTGGGAAGCAAAGAACATAGTGGGCGGGAGGACAGGGGACTGGAGAAGTTAGTGGTGCTTGTGTCGAAAAGGGAAGGCTGGGTTTTCCTATTTACTTTTGTTGCTAACAATGATCAGAGCCTACATTTCATTAAACTACAGAGATCAGCATCTTCTGGGATTCTCTAGAATGAAAAAAAAATTTATTGTTTCTCTGTTAAAAGAAACCCCTCTGAAACATGTTCAACTTTTTTTTTTGGGGGCAAAACTTTAGATGAAAACACCAAAGGGTAAATTATGAAAGTTAAAGGCCTTCAGTAGTGAAGCTATTAGCAGTTTTCGAGTTTTTGTCTTTTGCATCATGTTTTTTTCTGCAAATTGAAGTCTGTTTGTTTTGCCAAAGCTTCAGAAGGAACTTGACAACTTTCTTCTGGGTGTCTTGGTTGGTTGTTTACCTCTCATGTAGTAATACTGATGATTGATATCATTTTGAACCTTCTCTTTGCAGATTGCTGGACCTTTCAGCCTTAGAGTTGATTCTGAAGTAGCACTTGATCTGAAAAAAGGGAACTGGTACCCAGTCATGAATGATCCTGTATTTGCAGTTGAATATGCCTTGCAAGTTCTTGGTTCAGCAAAGGCTGTTGCTTGGTATTCACCGAAGCAGCGCGAATTTATGTTGGAACTTCGTTTCTTCGAGACCTAAAACCATAAATATTTTTCCAGAATTTGTTCTGGGCAGTCTAATGGTTTCACCTCTTTGGCTCATCATTGGTCGTCATCTTTTTATTTGTATTATGTCGTTTAAAATTAGTAGCAATCTAGCCATCTTGGTTGAGTTGATAAGCATATGGACTTGGAACATCAGAAGTGCGAACACATTCCAGCATGTGTGTGTAAAATTCTAGAGGTAATGATCATGTGGTTCTTATTGTTATTGATAGTTGGAAGTGATGATCTTTAAGATCACCAATGATGGGGTTATAGCTTTTGACACTTTGTGATCTGCCAGTCGGGATTTGAAACTGGGAAAGATTATTTTTAGACAGATCCCAAAGTGATAAATGCAGACTTTTCGAAACTTTGCTAGTTATGAGTTAGTATTTGTTTGTGTCGAATTGTTTATTGAAGATTCTTTAAATGAGAGATATAGCAGTTACATTTAGTGCAACTCATCACCGCATTGGAAAACCTCCCCGAGTCTTCTTGAAGGTCAATTTTGATAGTGCAACTTTTCCTGAGGACAGCTCCTTTGGTGTTGGACTGGTTGTACGGAATATAGGGGTGCCTTTGCATGTTTTGTCGGGGAACTCAGAGGAAGCTTTTCATAACATGTTATTGAGTCGTACGCTGCAACCCTTGGGATGTTCCTGACATTCCAGTTGAAGCTTCTAAGAGTGATCATAGAGATGATTCAGTATTTTTTTTGGTATGACCTACAAGTATCTGCATCTGATTTGCGGTCTACGACTAATTCTGTTCGAATCGGGCCGAGCTCCTTGTAAGGGTAAGTGCTTCCTACATTGTCCTTTTCATTTTCATGAGTTTCGAATCCGAGATCTCGTGGTTAAAGGATGTAAGCTTTTTTTACTTGCACCAACATTTGTTGGTATTGAGGTAATTCAGTGAAAGACATTATTGAGCTATGAATTCGAATGATTCGGCTTGCTGGACTCCGATAGATGACATAATAATGCCCGGGGTTTCACAAGCCAAGAGGCTTCCCGGGTGCTCCTAAAGAATTTTGTAGCCGGTTTGCTTGCTAGGAATGTTTGTGGATGGATTCTCCTCCACCAGGTCTTAGCTGCTGTGAGAGCATACACATAGCTGCTCGCTCTTAATAGGACAAAATTTTCAGTTTTCCTGTAGAAAAAACATGGTACTTGTTAATAATTGATGCTACTAATCAACAAAATGTGGCACTATCTTGCTAGCTAGTAAGATGCATTTGGCTATGTTGCAAAATTTGTGCCTTTAAGCTTTAAAACATTTTGCTTCTAGTCGTGCATTTTTTGCTTTTACAGTTTTGTTCCGTATCATTTATGGGTTGTTTAATCTTTGGTGGCATAACTAACCTTGATTGATTGGTCAAAACAGAAAATGTTTTCCTACTGGTATGTCCTTTGACAAATTCATGCTCGAATCCTCTCTACACTAGAAGCAACATTGATGTATGCGTGAAATTCAATAATTCCATTGAAGTTTTTTTTTCCTTCCAAATAATATAATGTGCTAACGTTGTAATGAATAATTAATCATATGCGATAAACATGACACAAATGCATTTTGATCAAACCCAATATTGTAGTGAACATGATTTATTTCTTGGGATCACGATAAATAATATATGTACGTTACTGTTTTATTAAGCACTACGTTTTCATGCGTAAAATTCAAAGGTTGGCGATATTGCCAGATCAAACTTGAGAAACTTCAAACTCACAGACAAGAAAACCAAAGAGCTTGTCAAGTAGGAAAAAATGGAAAATCTGTTGAAAACCCATGTAACAAGTGTTTCCATTACTTTATAAAACCTAACTTTTTAAAACCTCCCTCACAAGAAAGTAACCTATAATCTACACCTACATTTGCAAGTTGTGGTGCATATATTGAAAACTGCGTGGCAAGAGTATTAAAAGATATGCATTTAAGGAGAAAAGAAATTACAAATGCAGCGTTAAGGCCGCCGGGAGATATAAATGAAAGACTTATCTGTACTTTCTAAAGGCAAGACCTATGGACCAAAGCCAGGCAGATTCATTGAGCATTGTACTAAATCCAACCGCTTTTGTAACCCCATGGTCTACATAATAATACTCAAACATGGAGCAACTCCTCTCCCCAAAAAAAAAAAAAAAAAAAAAGCGTTCATTTTAAAAGGAATCATATCAAAACTTTTCTTACTTTGAAAAATCTCTAAGACATGTATTGATTATATACTTATTTTATTAACCTCATTTTTAACGTATTTATATTAAAAACTCCTTCTAATAAATAATTTTCTTTCAAAAAATCCTTCAATCCAATGAGACTCCACGTACCAAAGTGACACAAAATTCATAGCATAGAAATCCAATAAACATATTATTCAATTCTAAAACATCTTATGATATAAATACAAGATCATTATACACACGAGTATGGAAACTCAAAAACACAAGATCATTAATTAATCCTTGCCCCTCAAAAAATTAATTAGTTGCATTCAAATTCAAATCCCCTTAGATTCTCAATTTCAATTGATAACTTATTCGTGTAAAATGCTTAACAAAAACTCTTAAATCCGCATTGTTTTATTGCAATTCATGACTTAATCACCATGACAGGTCTCTTAGTTGAAAACACAAGAACTTCTTTCCTCCTAACATCTTTCTATATACAAAGTATGAGGAGGGGTTTGGCGTTAAAATTTTATGACATCTTTTGATTTTCTAATTCTATCCTTATAAAAGTAAAAATTTACTAAAGATAACTACTTCAATTTAATAACTTCTATTTTTTGTTCCCTTTTTGCAAAAAAAAAAAAAAAAAAAACTTTTTTTTGCAAAAAAAAAAAAGAACAACCTTCTAATAACTTCTATTAGTTTTAATAAAAATAACTTATTTTTTTCTTAATTTGTACACCCATAAGGTGTGCTTTTCCTACTAGTTGACAGTTAATTGTCAAAGACAGAGGACCTTTAATTTATCCATTCAACTCTAGTAGAGAATTTGGACCTTCATCCTCCTGAAAGAATTTTTTTTAGTAATCTTGATTTTTGGTTGAAAACAAGGAAGAAACAAAGAATCATGAACGTAAGTGACATAATTAATTAAGCTTCAAAAATAAATAAATAAATAAATAAACAACCTAAGCAATATATAAGGATGGCAAGAGTATCGGAGAAATCCATGTAAAATAAACCTTGAGCAAATATTTTGACAAAACAAAAGAGATAAATGTACAAAACTATCTGTTTAAGCCAAAAAGGAGGAAAAAAAAGACCCAAGAGCATATAGCTATTGCATTTGCTTGGAATATCCTCCAAGCAACAAAATAATGAAGTCTATTGGATTCTCTTTAATGTGTTCATTTTTATTCTTTAATTCAAATCATATGTTTGTCTCGATGCTTGTATCCGTCAGCAATTGCCACCCAATGATAGATTGTTCTTTAATCAATCTTCAAGACTTCAGAATGATGAGTAAACCATGATTAAAAATTAATGAATAGCAGTGAAAACAATGCAATAAATACAAACTTACGCAGTTTCACATATGCCATATTTTGTCCCCATATTAGAACAGGATCTATAATTGCCATATGGCTTGCCTTATCTAGAATAGCTAGTGAAAGAAGAAATCAAGTCACTGGATAAAGAAATTGAATAGGAAAGACTTACTATTGGTCACAATCAACCTTCCAAATGTTGTACGTAAATGTGTTGTCATTCATAGTTGATTAATACATAGCATAAACTTTTGAACTTATCTTATCTGTATTGTGGTGTAGATGTGTTTGAGTCAAATTTTGTTTTACATCAACAGATATTGGTTTAACTTCATCACATGCTCCTGCAACTAATACAACTAGTACTAAAGCACACCCATGTGTGTGCAATTTAAGAATAAATTAATTTTTATAAAAAAAATTTTAAATAAATTGATAGTTATCTTGGTAGTTATGTCAATTGGTAGTTATTTTGGTAATTAAACCTTTTTTATAATCAAGAGTTTGGATATTTAAACCTATTGGTAGTTGCAACAAAAATGATGTTGGTTATATATAAGGATTAATCTTTCCTACACTATCAGCGTTGGATGAATGACAAATATGCAAAATTTGAATTTGAAATTCAATTTTTGCACACATGTCATGAATCCAACGATGATAGTGTATACATCGTCAGTGTAGGAAAAATTTACTTTATATATAATTGGATAGTTAGGATAAAATTTAGTCTTCATGAGGATAACTATGAAGGTTTAAGAAGTGACAAAAGATGTTTAATAGATGATAGAGATGAGGGTAAATTTGAAAATACACAAAGTTACAACTAAGTTAATTACCTACATAAGTTTTATTATTGTAAAGATATCCTCTCCTAATATATTATTTAGAAAAAATTTTCATGTTTTTTATTGTAAAACTTTTTTTGATCTGCTTTATGTGATAAGAAGGGAATTGAAATGAATATTGTTTCTCTTATAAATAACCATGACTTGCTGGGCCTACAATTTGAGTACACTTCATGGAATGAAAAAACAATTACCTGGAAAAATGTATTAACTACCGAACTTTTATGCTGCGATTAAATTAAAATTAAGAAGTATTTGAACAACATGCTTAAGGAATAACAAGTATTTTAAAAAAATGATCATATCCAAACAGACTTAGTAGTTTAATTCCTATACAAAAAAAAAAAAAGAAAAAACGTGATAGTAGGCCCTACACATCAACAAAAATTTGTTGCATTTAATTCTTCAAAAGGATTTTTGATTCATGTGTGTATATAATTGTTTTTTTTTTTGTGATGTCCTAAAGCAAGTGCACCAAAAAAGAGAGTTTTAAAATTATTCTATTAATACTTTTGCAAAAGAATTTTACCCTTTTGCCCAAAAAAAAAATAAAGCCACTTCTATATTGTGCATCCGTTGGACAGTAAACAAAGGAACTTGATAGATTTAAAGTGTAATATCTGTTTGGATTAACAGTTTTTGGGGGTATTTGAAAATTTTTATTGTAGCAGTGTATATGAAACATTTTTACTATAAATATTTTTTGAAATATTTGATATATAGTATGGATGAGATTTTTTTGAGTTATTGTTACTGCAGCATTATATTTGAAATTTTTGTTTTTGAAAAAATGGCCAATCCAAACAGAGATGTGGCTATTTTTAGGAGTTTTTGTAGAAAAATATACTATAGTGATTTGATGTGTGTAAGGTAAAAAAATGATTCAGATATGTGTTTATGAAAAATGTAAAAATTTTCCATCGAAAAATCACATCCTTCCTATTATTTTATGGGGTACAAAATAGAAAGAAACTTAAATGATATATTATTGATTAATCTTTCCTACACTGATAGTTGGATAAATGGCAACTGTACAAAATTTGAATTTGAAATTCAACATTTGCAGACTGTATACAGTATCAGTTTGGATGAATGACAACTATACAAAATTTGAATTTGATATTAAACTTTTGTACATACTAGTCTAAACACTCGTGCTACGCACAGTATATCATATTTTTGGAAGAAATTATAATCGAAGGAGGAATTTAAATAGAGTAAGAAATATATGTAATTGTTCTTATAATTTAGGACACGTGAAAGTATAGTTAAAAAGTGAGATTTTGTAGCAATAGTTCAATATATGATAAAAATATCCCCATTATTTATAAACTACCACATTGATGGAAGTTGGATCCTGAAAAAAAAAAAAGTAGAAATCCATAGCATAAATTGAGCGACATAAGGGTTCAATTTAATGTAACTGAATATTTAATTTGATAAGTAAATGAAATACTTACAAATATTTTGTATTCGATTTGATAATCTTCTATGAAGGTAGGAACATTTTTCATACCAATCAACTCTGAGTATGAATACCAGTATTGGAGGTTTAATTAATTCTGCTGAATTTTGTGGAGTCCGTACTATAA